GTGGACGAGGTTCCCCCACCTGGGGCGAACATCGTCAGTGGCATGTGGATTTTCAGGGTGAAGCGGCCGCCGGGTTCTCCGCCTGTCTTCAAGGCGCGTTACGTGGCTCGAGGCTTCAGTCAGCAAGAGGGAGTAGACTTCTTTCATACCTTCTCCCCCACCCCGAAGATGACCACTCTTCGGGTGCTGCTGCACATAGCCGCTCACCGCGACTACGAGATTCACTCACTTGACTTCAGCACTGCTTTCTTGCAGGGCAGCCTGCACGAGGAGATCTGGCTGCGCCGCCCCCCTGGCTTCACTGGGTCGTTTCCTCCTGGTACCCAGTGGAGGCTTCAGCGGCCGGTCTACAGTCTCCGCCAGGCTCCACGTGAGTGGCACGACACACTGAGGACTACACTTGCGGCTCTTGGGTTCGCGCCTTCTACAGCTGACCCGTCGCTGTTTCTGCGCACCGACACTTTGTTGCTGCCGTTCTACATCCTCGTGTACGTTGACGACTTGGTCTTTGCCACTGCTGACACTTCAGGACTCGCCTACGTGAAGTCGGAGCTGCAGAGGAGACACACGTGCACAGACCTGGGTGAGCTGACAAGCTATCTTGGCTTGCGGATCACCCGGGACAGAGCACGCCGCACCATCACCCTGACTCAGTCACACATGGTGCAGCAGGTTCTCCAGCACTTCCGCTTCACGTACTCCTCGCCTCAGCCCACTCCTCTGCCTACTCGCCACTCGCTCTCAGCTCTGCCTTCGGATGATTCCGTAGAGCCGAGTGGCCCGTATCCGGAGCTTGTGGGCTGCCTCATGTATCTGATGACCTGCACTCGACCTGACCTAGCATACCCTCTTAGCATCCTTGCACGCTATGTCGCTCCTGCCCGTCACAGGAAGGAGCACATGGATGCCGCTAAGAGGGTGTTGCGCTACTTGTGCAGTACGTCGGGCATGGGGCTAGTGCTTGGAGGGCGAGACCGAGTTGTGCTCACTGGACACTCAGACGCTTCTTGGGCGGACGATCAGGCTACTTAGCGGTCGTCTCAGGGTTACACCTTCAGCCTTGGCTCTGGCTCAGTTTCTTGGCGTTCCACTCGCTCTTCTTCTGTTCTCAGCTCCAGTTGTGAGGCTGAGATCTACGCCACAGCCATGGCGGCCCAGGAGCTTCGCTGGCTGACCTACCTGCTGACCGACTTGGGAGAGAGGCCTCGTTCTCCTCCAGTGCTGTACGTTGACAACAAGGCTGCCATTGCCTTGTGTGAGGAGCACAGACTGGAGCACCGAACGAAGCACATCGCCCTGCGGTACTTCCTTGCTCGAGAGCTGCAGCAGCGCGGTCAGCTTTGTCTGCGTTACGTGGCCACTGAGGCCAACACTGCTGATGTGTTCACCAAGGCGCTTCAGCCTTGTGACCATTAGCGCTTCTGCACTCTGCTAGGTCTTGTGCCTACTGGAACACACTTGCTTACTTCTTGACCCTGCTTGTACTGTGATCATTATATATATATCCCTGCATGTTTACTCTTGCTAGGTTGTGATCACTGTATCTCATGCTTTGTTATAAACCTGCATGTGAACTGGCCTTGTGGCCACCTGTTTGTGCTCAGACTGTGTGGTGTCCTTGAGATCCACCCTGAGCTTTGTCTTGTTTGCTCTTCTGCTTGACTGGTCTTGTGACTTCTGTTAGGTTTGGCTATCCCCCTACTTCACCTATGGGGGTGTGTCAAATTATATGTTTCTTATAATTTGGTTCTAGGTTGTGTAGGGGTGTTTCTTAGAGGGTACATTATTTCTCTCGACACTCTTGTACCCCCTCCCCTAACCTAATCGACATCCTTTCTCTCTAAACTTCTAACAGGTCGATAGTGAGGTCGGTGGGGTCCATGGCGAGAAAGAGGTCCCTGACTGCGCTAAGGGAGTCAGGGAGGCGGGTGATGATGAAGTAGAGAGCGATGTACATGGTGAGGGGGGGGAGGGTAATGTTTAGAAACATGGTGGGAAGCGCGACACAATAGCGAGTGTCACTAGTGCGAATGTGGGTGACTAGGTCGTCGACTGTGGCAAAGGCGGACAATTCGGGAAAGAGGTAGGGCAATAGAAGGCGGTCGAGTGCAGCAGTGGCAGGGGAGGAGTAACGAGCGACTACAGTGTCGTACAGGGCTTTAGCAGTCTTGTGCTATCCAAAGTGAGCGTGTTCGGCTAACGGCAGGCGGTTGCGAACGGCTAGGCGAGCAGTAGTGTCACGGGTAAGCTAATGTGAGTGAGTGAGACTGTCAACTGTGTCAGGAGGGGCGACTAAGGAAGCAGACGTGTGGTCAAACAGGGATACGCCGTCTTCAGCATCGCTCCTTAGGTACAGCTGTAGGTCATCAAGCCATGTTTCAAACTGGATCGGGCGGCCCTCATGATCGAATGAGAGTATGCTGAGAGTAGCCATAGCTGGGTGGCGCGAGACTAGCAGGGCGGAGCGCGTGCAGGGCAGAGCGGCATGCGGGCAGGGCAGGGCAACGCGTGGCTAGAAAAGGCGGCGCACGGCCAGCAGGGCGGCGCGCGGGCAGGTAAGGGCGGCGCACGGGCAGCAGGGCGGCGCGCGGCCAGCAGGGCGGCGCGCGGGCAGGAAGGGGCGGCGCGCGGCCAGCAGGGCGGTGCGCGGGCTGCAATGGGCGGCGTGCGGGCTGCAATGGGCGGCGTGCGGGCTGAAAAGGGTAGCGCGCTGCCAGCAGGTCGGCGTGCGGGCTGCAGACGGGCGGCGCGTGGGCTGCAAGGGGCAGGGCATGCGCAGGGCGGCGCGACGCAGGACAGGGCAGGGCGTGCGCGAGCGGCGCGACGCAGGGCAGGGCGTGCGCGGGGCAGCGAACCACAGGGCAGGGCAGGGCGGGTGAAGGGCAGCGCGATGTAGGGCAGGGCGTGCACCGGCAGCATGACGCAAGGCAGGGCAGGGTAGGGCAGGGCGTGCGCGGGCGGCGCAAAGCAGGGCAGGGCGTGGGGTAGCGCAATAACTGCAGACGGTCACTAGCTAATGGTGGGCAAAAAAAAAAAAAAACGGTCCTAAGGACCTACTGCTCGAAAACCATGTCAGAAACTAATGATTAGGGATTATTGCATTGAGTAAGAAAGTGATACAAGTACTAACACTAATTGGGTTGTACCGTACACAATAATATAACAGTTTGACAGTATGGCACTTCGTCCTTCCTCTGTTCCACTGCACGTTGTCCTGCCTCAGCCTCCCGCATCCTCTCTTCTGCACGTTCCTGACCCTGGGTCCAACCTTGCTCGTGCTGGTAGTCCTACTCTCACTCGTATCCTCGCTACTGTTGTCACTGACCCTGACTTTGAGTCTACTGCTGCGTTTGCCCTAGTCACTGAGCTAGTCGACTTTGCAGCTAGGAGACGTCTCGACTACGTCGCGAGTCTTGTCACTGAGTCTGTCTATCCTCCGTCCGTCAGGGGTGAGTTTGTCCTTAGCAGTGACTTCCTTCAAGACAGGCAGTTTGATCTTGAGTGTCTTGCGGCCGCTTTACCTCGTTTCGCATCCATGTTGCTTTGCCCTGAAGGAGACCTGGATGCACTTGACATCCCTATCCCACGCTCTTACGCTGAGGCGATCGCGGATGAGTACTCCTCTCAGTGGCAGACACCCAGGAACGCAGAGATGGCTTCCTGAAAGTCCACAGGCACCTACGTCGACGAGGTTCCTCCTCCTAGGGCGAACATAGTTGATGACATGTGGATTTTCATACTGAAGCGGCTGGCGGGTTCTCCGCCTGCCTTTAAGGCGCATTACGTTGCTCGAGGCTTCCGACAGCGACAGGGGGTCGACTTCTTCCATACCTTCTCCCCCACCCCAAATATGACTACTCTTTGGGTGTTGCTGCACGTTGCAGCACAGCGTGACTACGAGCTACACTCCCTCGACTTCTCCAGAGCTTTCTTGCAGGATAGCCTTCACGAGGGGATCTGGCTGCGCCACCCACCTAGCTTCACTGGGTCATTTCTTGCACATACCCAATCGAGCCTCCGGCGGCCAGTCTACGGTCTCCGCCAGGCATCTCGCGAGTGGCACGACACACTAAGGACGACACTTGCGGCTCTTGGGTTTTCTCCTTCCTCAACTGACCCGTCACTGTTTCTACGCACCGACACTACCCTGCGACCGTTCTACGTTCTCGTGTACGTTGACGACTTGGTTTTTGCTACTGTTGACATGGAGGCGCTGACCCTAGTGAAGGCGGAGCTGTAGGAGAGACACACCTACACTGACCTAGGTGAGCTGCGCAGCTATCTTGGCTTGCAGATCATCCGGGACAAGAACACGGCGCACCATCACCCTGACTCAGTTACCCATGGTGCACCTGTTAAAGTGATACTAAATATATCCTGCTTGCTGTAGTTACTATAGTATAGTTATCTGATTGTTTGCTTGGTGGTGTGTTTGTTTGCTATATGTACCTTTGGTCCTATAGTGAACCCAACCATTCTCGATTCTCCTTGGTGACAAGACTCTCGACACCCGCTTGGCCTAGGCTACTAAGCCTAGGCCCCTTAGTTAAACCCGTACTCTAGTTAACTTAGTATCGTAACATGGTATCAGAGCGGTCCCTCCTAGGACCTAATTCGTTTGTGGGCCCACCACATTTCGCGACTGCTACAGTTAGTGGCGCGAAATCCGCACCTTGCGTTTTTTTTTCTGCTGCTCGCACTGCCCCCCATTGCATGCCCGTCGCATCGTCGTCGCCTGCCTCGTCGCGGCTCTCAGCGCGACGAGCACGACGGATGCTATGGCGAACGCCAGCGGACCCGCCGCCAGCGACCCGCCAGCGAAGTCGGCAGCAAAGTCGCCAGCGGCCCGCGTTCGCGTTTGCGCCATAGGGGTGATGGGGGAACGCCAGCGATGACCGCCAGAGCACCGGCGATCGCCCCAGCCGCTCCTTCGCCCGGCGTCGCTCTGCTCGTCACATTCCCCCCGCCCCCTGCCCGTCACCCCCCCCCGACGCGACTATTTACGTGTGCAGCGGCGGTCGCCATGGGGAGGAGAGGGAGGAAAGGAAGGGAGTGGCGGCGGAACGCTGTGGGGGGGGGGGAGGAAAGGGGGGAAGGGAGTGGCGGCGGCACATCAGCGACGACCGCCAGCGCACCGGCGATCGCACCAGCGCTCGCGCGCCCTTTGCTGCTGCTGCCCGTCCCCTGCACACTGTCAGATCCCGCCCCGCCTGTAGCCCATCTGCAGCTCGTCCCATCCGTCGCACCCCATCAGCAGCACCAGCCCCAGCGCCAGCCGCCAGCACCAGGAACCAGCCCCAGCGCCAGCCGCCAGCACAAGGAACCAGCCCCAGCGCCAGCCACCAGCACCAGGAACCAGCGCCAGCACCGGCGCCAGCCACCAGCACCAGCACCGGCACCAGCGCCGTTACGCCAGCACCAGCCACCAGGACCAGCGCCAGCCGCCAGCACCAGGCACCATCACCAGACGCCAGCACCAGCACCAGACGCCAGCAGAGCACCCTGCCAGCAGAGAACTTCGCCAGCAGAGAACCCCGCCAGCAGAGAACCCCGCCAGCAGAGAACCCCACCAGCAGAGAATCCCGCCAGCAGAGAATCCCGCCAGTAGAGAACCCCATCAGCAGAGAATCCCGCCAGCACAGAACCCCACCAGCAGAGAACCCCACCAGCAGAGAATCCCGCCAGCACAGAGCCCCACTAGCAGAGAATCCCGCCAGCAGAGAACCCCGCCAGCAGAGAACCCCACCAGCAGAGAACCCCGCCAGCAGAGAACCCCGCCAGCAGAGAGCCCCGCCAGCAGAGAACCCCGCCAGCAGAGAACCCCGCCAGCAGAGCACCATCTCTGCCCTGCCTCTCCCCTCCCGCGGCTGCTACTGTGGGGGGTAGGTGGCGGGGACGGGGGGTGGGAGGGCTGGCTGCAGTGTGAAGGACAGGGCAGAGACAACTGTGGGTAGGGCAGGGGTGTGGAGGAAGGAAGGGAGGGAGGTGGTGCGGATCCAGGGGGCGGCTGAAATGGGGGGTGAGGTTGAAGGAGGGTGTTTGATTGGGGGTGGGGATGTGGGGGTTAGTAAGAGGGGACGCTGCGGCCACCCCCCCACCTCCTCTCCTCATCCCCCACTCAACCCCCCTTACGTAAAAGGGGGTTAGTAAGAGGGGACGCCGCGGCCACCCCCCCCACCTCCTCTCCTCATCACTCACTCACCTCCTCTTGTGTCTTTATCTCCTCTTCTCTCCTCTCTCCCTCTCGCCGCCTCCCCTCATGTACCCCTCTGCCATCTCCCACCGCGCCTGCTTTACCCCTTCAGGGGGTGTTGACTGCACTAGTTATTACTGCAAGCAGGCTAAGGGGGTGTGTTAAAGTGATATTAAATATATCCTGCTTGCTGTAGTTACTATAGTGTAGTTATCTGATTGTTTGCTTGGTGGTGCACCTGTTTGTTTGCTATATGTACCTTTGGTCCTATAGTGAACCCAACCATTCTCGATTCTCCTTGGTGACAAGACTCTCGACACCCGCTTGGCCTAGGCTACTAAGCCTAGGCCCCTTAGTTAAACCCGTACTCTAGTTAACTTAGTATCGTAACAGCACCAGGTCCTTTGGCGCTTTGGCTTCCAGTTCTCCTTTCCACAGCCCACTCCTCTATCTACCGGCCACTCGCTCTCAGCTCCAACTTCGGACGAGTCCGTAGGTTCGAGTGGTCCGTGCCCAGAGCTAGTGGGTTGCCTCATGTATCTGATGACGTGCACACGACCTGACCTCACGTACCCTCTCTGCCTCCTGGCTCGCTAGGTGGCTCCCGGTAGACACCGAAAGGTGCACTGGGATGCTGCGAAGAGGGTACTGCGTTACTTGTGCAGTACATCAGGCATGTGGCTCGTGCTTGGAGGACGGGGTTCAGTGGTACTCACTGGACACTCCGACGCTTCTTGGGCCGACGACCTAGCGACTCAGCGTTCGTCACAACGTTACACCTTCAATCTTGGCTCTGGTTCTGTCTCGTGGAGGTCCACTCGTTCTTCTGCTATGCCTGGTTCCAGCTGTGAGGCCGAGATCTACGCTGGGGCCATGGCTCCACAGGAGCTATGCTGGCCGACCTACCTGCTGACCAGCTTGGGGGGGGCGGTCTCGTTCTCTTCCAGTTCTATACGTCGACAACAAGGCAACGCTTGCAATGTGTCGCGAGCAGAGACTGGAGCACAGAACGAAGCACACTGCTCGTCGCTACTTCCTTGCGCATGAGCTGCAGCAGCGTGGTCAGCTGCGCCTTTATTACGTGGCCTCTCGGGCCAACACTGCTGATGTCTTCACCAAGGCCCTTGAGTCTGGTGATCATCAGCGTTTCTGCACTTCTCTTAGGCTTCAGCCGAGTCCGCCTCACCTGCTGGTTGCTTAACTTGCTCTTGTTGTACACTGATATATATATATATGTGTACATATATATACATATATATACATATCTTTAGACCTGCATATTTACTCTTGCTAGGTTGTAAGCAGTGTACTGCCTTGTTCTTAAAACTCTGCATGTGAACTGCTGGCCTTGTGGCCGCTTGCTTGTGCTCACACTTTGTGGTATATTTGAGATCCACCCTGAGCTTTGTTTTGCTTGTTCTCTTGCTTGACTGGTCTTGTGACCCTGTGGTTGTTCCCCACTTAGCCTATGGGGGCGTGTCAAAATACAATTCTACTTGGTAGGCTAAAGTGGGTTACTCAATACGGGGTACAACCCCAATTAGGGTTAGCCTATACAAATCTGTACTGCCTTGTTTCTAGTCACTCCTGCATTGTTGATTCTGACACTTTGTTGTCGCTCCTGGTCAGATCATCGGCTAGTTTTGCAGCATTACCATATATGGGTTTACCAATGACAAAGGTTGCTCTCAAAGGTCCACTTTGTCAGAATGTGATGTTTGTGTAGCCTGCTGTGGGGTACTCTATAGCGAGTACAGCCCGAACTAGGGTTTGCTATATGTACTCAACTGCATGCTAGTGAAAACCCCTCTATCCTGTTTCTGATTCATGCCTAGTACCGTATTTCGAAATCCCCGATTGATTATAGGGAAGGGTTACATGCCCATTGGCCTGGGGGGTTATGGGCGCACTCACCCGCTACACAAACAAGCCCTTTTATCCCAGTGGCTTGTGATTGGGATTCAAACATGGTATCAGAGTGAAGGTATCGGGTTCGAATCCCAGTGTGTGCACCTCGGGCATCCCAGTGCGGGGGGGTGTCAGAGGTCCAGTTGTGATCCCCGATTGATCCTAGAGAAGGGTTACAGGCCCGTTGGCCTGGGGGGTTGTGGGCGCACTCACCCGCTACATAAACAAGCCCTTTTGTCCCAGTGGTTAATGACTGGGATTCTAACAGTTGCAACACAATGATGTTGGCAGGCTGCGATGCGAGGGTTTCTGGCCCATTGCTTGCACATGTGGTCCTATGGCGCGTTTTGTTTAGGTCGTGCTGGCAAGCACTGATGCATCCACGCCGTCAGGCTGTGCTATCTGCCATCCAGGCTCTCCCATCCCATTCTGCTCCATGCTTTCCATCCACATGTGGTTTCCTCGCGTTCCTGCCTGGTGTACCAAGAGGCAGTCAGAAGGTTGCTTGCTTTAAAGACCTCTTATAATTGTTGGGCTGAGAAAAGCCCTTAGGATCTTTGCAAAGGTGAACTCTGTCAGACTTTATATTAATTATATTTGTAACTGCCTGTAGCTATAGTTAGTGTAGTTATTGCAAACTTTGTTAGGTGGTGCACCCTTTTGTTTCCTATACTATATGTTCCTTGAACCTATAGTGAAACCCCACTTTTCACCTTCTCAACTTTCTCGACTCTCCACCCTTGGGCCCAACTCACTCGATACCTAAGTTGGGCCTAGGCTCCTAAGCCTAGGCCCTTACATTCTAGTTTCTTTAACATGGTATCAGAGCAGTTTCGTCCTGGCCTGTGGGCCCGCCCAATTCTTCCGCTGCTGGATTTCTGGTCACGCGCCTCGGGCGCGTGACGTTTTACTTTTCAACCCGTCGCGGACCCGCCCCCTTTGGCGCCCGCGGCGGTGCACTTGGCGCCCGCGGACCCGCCTCTGGCGCCCGCGGCGGTGCCCTTTGCCGTCGCGGACCCGCCTTTGGCGCTCGCGGCGGTGCTCTTGGCGCCCGCGGACCCGCCTCTGGCGCCCGCGGCGGTGCCCTTTGCCGTCGCGGACCCGCCTCTGGCGCCCGCGGCGGTGCCCTTGGCGCCCGCGGACCCGCCTCTGGCGCCCGCGGCGGTGCCCTGCGCCATCGCGGACCCGCCTCTGGCGCCCGCGGCGGTGCCCTGCGCCATCGCGGACCCGCCCCTGGCGCCCGCGGCGGTGCCCTTGAGCCGCCGCGGACCCGCCCTTGGCGCCTGCGACGGTGCTTTCCGCACCTGCATTCCCTGCAGCTGCCCCTGACCTACCTGCATCGACCATATCTAGCCGCTCTGCGGCTTTCTTCCCGCCCACCCCCTCCTCCTTCATCTCCCTGCAGCCGTGGGGGGGAGGGTATGGGGGTGGCGGGTGTTGGAGTCGTGGGTAGTACCCTTCCCTTCCCCTCCTCCTCCTTTTGTTCCCACTGCTGCAGCTGCCGCTGGGGGAGAGGGTGTGAGGGTGTGGGGGAGCAGGGGGATTGGCACCGGGGTGGCGGGTGTGAGGCAACCAGCAGCCGTCCCTCCGCCTCTCCTCTCTCCCCCCCTTCTCTGCTGCTCCTGCAGCAGTGTGGGGGAGGGGAGGGAGGAGGGTGAGGTGATGGAGGGGGTGACCAGTTAGTGTCTGCCCGCCTGCTGTATTTGCTGTTGCTTGGTTTATATCTTGCTTGTGTTGCTTGTGTACCCCTGCAAGTTGTGTTCTGCACAAACTTCTGCTGCAGGCAGTTATGGGGGAGTGTCAGACTTTATATTAATTATATTTGTAACTGCCTGTAGCTGTAGTTAGTGTAGTTATTGCAAACTTTGTTAGGTGGTGCACCCTTTTGTTTCCTATACTATATGTTCCTTGAACCTATAGTGAAACCCCACTTTTCACCTTCTCAACTTTCTCGACTCTCCACCCTAGGGCCCAACTCACTCGATACCTAAGTTGGGCCTAGGCTCCTAAGCCTAGGCCCTTACATTCTAGTTTCTTTAACAAACTCTGGATAGAGTAGGTGCAATAGCGGAAGTGTTTAATGAAGACTTGTGAACCACCTTGCGCTAGTATGTGAGGGCAAAGTAAGTTGATTAAAAGGAGATACAGGAATATATATAGGAGTACAAGGAATACGAAGAGATGTAGTTATAACTACTTTACTGTTTGCTGTTGCGGTTCGATACAGTGACGACTCGGGCAACTGCTCTGTAGCGAGTCAGTTGTGTGTCCTTGCTGTCGCGCTGTATTTGTCAGGTCAAAGGTCGATGACCTTTGACTTTCACGTAACCTCGAGCAACCTCTCAACCTCCGAGGGTTGACTCGCGGGTGCTTCGATATGGCTCACTTCGTTTCTGGTGCGGTGTTTCGACACGACAGAGGCGCTTAAGATTCACTGTTTCCAACACTCCCCTTCGCTTCTAGAGTGTCGCTGCTGATGACGTGGCTCTGTCCAGTCAGCAGCATGCAGTACTCAAATTTCTGCTTTACGAGTTTCTTGGTCAAATAGTCAGCTGCCATCTCGGATGTGGGGCAGTATGACAGCTTGAGTCTCCCCTTCTCGATCTCGTCCTTCACGAAGAAATAGCGGAGGGCGATGTGTTTCGTCCTGTTTGCGAAGCCGTTCTTGTTGGCGATGCGAATTGCTGACTGGTTGTCGCAGAACATGGTGAAGTTGGGTAACTCGGCTAACTTCGTTTC